TGTACAGATTTGGTAACGAACCTCATCCAGCATCCTCTTTTTGTTGCTTTTTCTTTCTCCCCAGATAAATCGATTTTTTGTTACACCCTTTGGATCCTTGTTATTATCGCGGCTTTTGCGTTTAGGGGTGTATCCTTGTCAACAACGACAGCAATTAGTGTGGACAGACTTCTTGCTTTATTGCTTGGACTGAGATACAGGCAGGTGGTAACTGTGAGGCGAGTAAAATTCCTTACAGTTTTTCTCTGGTTTTTAGGCGCTTCTGTGGCAATAGTAGCATTATATAGTCTACATCTTGCTTTTCGCATAGCCTTTGCTGCAATTTTATCTTGCACAGTAACCTCTTCATTTTGCTACATCAGAATTTACTACAAACTTCGTCTTTCTCAAGCACAAGTGCAAGACCAAGGTCACCAAGGACAACCAAGTCAAGTAGGAATTCAAGTGAACAGAGTTCGATACAAAAAGACAGTGTCCACAGCACTTTGGGTTCAAGTACTATTTTTGGCTTGTCATCTCCCATTTGGTTTATTGTTAGGTTTTATTACCATCACTGGATTGAATACACCATTCCTTTGGTTTGCTTTGGCTCTAACAGCGAGTCTGATGTTTATCTACGCAACTCTGAACCCATTGCTTTATTGCTGGAGGATGAGAGAATTAAGGCAAGCAGTAAAGGACATGATAAAAGACTTTTGTTGCTTATCGCAGCACGAAGCAACTTAAAAGTACTGTGACTTAAAGAAGATGTAATGAGTCCACCGTTAGTTAAAACGTTAGTCGAGAGGCTTGACCTAACCATTACTTGTCTGGTCATGAGAAGAAATACATCACTGAAAAAATAGGTGAGAGATATAAACTGAACCGAACACAAAACGATACTTCTAAAATACAGACAAAATGTTGTTATTAGATTGAGAGCATGACCGGCAGAGTTCTTTTGGCGGGAACAAGAAATGGCAATTCAGGCAAAGGGGTGTAAAAATGCGAGAAACAAAATCAAAGATACAAATAATATCTTGTGGGATTAATTCATATATAAGTTTAAGTTACAAAATGATTTCGAGTGCATTTTAGTGTTAATAAGCGCGAGTAAATTTCTCAGAGACAACAAAATTGGACGAGCCCGTAAAACGCATCACAGAAAGTCAAGATGGGCGAGACTTTGGCAGCGCGCGGTATTGAAGTTTGCACTCGTGTTACAATTTTGCACTGGTGTTACATGAAAAATGCACTCGTTTTCAGCCGATCAGACGCGCTTAATTTTTTCATGTACATTGTTACTAACTCAAAAAGAGATATTCAAACTGAATAAAGTGTTAACAAACGATACAATTCTCTAACGAAAAAACTTACTGTTACCCTAAATTCGAATTAGCGCATGCATGCATGCCTCTGAGATCTTTGCATTACGGAGATAACCGTCTATGGGCCTTCGGCACTCGCGTTTCAGCTGTTCTTGTAGGGTTTAACGATAACGGAAAAATCTAAACGAACTTTTCCTAATTTTTGCTATTTTCCTAAAACTGCGTCTGTTTAGTTAATCTCAATTCAACAGCACTCATATGCATTCCGTCAAGGATAGAGGCACCATTACAGTGATCTCATTATGTCCTCGTAAAGTGAATCATAATCTCCATTCTTTTGGTGACTGTATTCGGTGCGTGTTCGT